ATATCTTTAATTAATTAAATCCATACCTGATTTTTGAATTTGCAAACTATTTACCTTACTTTTGAATTGAGGTAAAGAATACACCTTAGATATGAATTTTTCCCATTAATTTACCTATCCCTAAACCGATTAATAAGCCTCTATTTTGGGATTAACCGTGTGTGTTATTGCTAGAGAAAAGAGGCAACCGACTTTGTGTTCTTCCTCTCCTTTGTGCTTGAGTTTAAATCAGTTGCTTTGTCCATTTCCCCTTCCTTTGTGGCTGCAATTAACCACCAAAATTGTGTCCTTCATGAGTGCAAGAAAATATGCAACCGAAGTGAATTAAGTTGTGGTTTCGAGCAATCAATTGGTTGGTGTTTGATTATGTGTTGGTTTAAACAGAGCTTGATTTGTGCATGATTCGAAGTACTTTCGTGATAGTAAATCTTAAAAATCTTATCCCACAACCCCTAGCCACATCATTGGCTCTCTGTGTATTATTCCAAATTAATTAATCTTAATTGAAGTTTTTTTTTTGAATTATTCAATCTTTTAAAAAAATATATTATTATTATTAGTTATTGCAACAATATTCTCTAGTGTCAGCTCAAGATTTTTTCTATTCTTTCATTTTTCTCGAAAACAAATAGGATAAAACAGATTAAAAATGCAAAGAAACTGTTTTTATTTGTAATCATAAACTTATAATCTACAAAATATTATGTGTTTGGAAAGTTAAAAGTTAATTTTGATATAAAAAAAAAGAGGGATAAGTTATTTAGCCCCTATTTGAAAGAAAAGAAAGAGAGGTGATACACAAGAGAGAAAGTAATTGTGTTTGAGTAGGTCTCATGTTATACCTTACTCAATGAAGAATTTGTATATTTATAAAGTTGTACATCTAACAGAAATCAACTTTACAAGGATGTCAAACAAACTAAAGATAAAAATTCATACATTTTAAATATTCAAGTTTCAAAAATTTGTTACTATCTTACTGCATATTTAGTAATGTTTTCCATGATATATACTAACACCCCCTACAAATTGATGGGCAGCAAGCAGATCATGAGTTTGTGCCTTAAAAACTTGAACCGTAA